GTTAAACTTTTAAACATTTGTCAGAGGATTTGTTTGCTTTTGGCCAGCCAAAGCTAACATTTTGCCGCTCTGGTTTGCTCGGGCATTCGTTCGTTTGTTTGTTTGTTTATTTTCCTACGCCCCACTATTTGTTTTCTTTCCAATTTTGTAATTTCAAACTTTTTCTATTGATTTCTTTGCACGCATGAACACCTTCAGCAACAGCGACTGCGACAGCAACCGGGAATGAGGCACCAGCTGTGGCACCAGGACTAAGGACACCGACCACCCTAGGCAACAAAGTTGAGAAGTTCTACGGCAAGACGGCGGCATTCAATTTAAGTTGTGGGTGAAGAAGCTCCAGATCGCATGCGTTTGTTTGCACTTCCTTTGCCGGTCATGCGTTGAAATGCACAAAACACTTTATAAGCTCGGGAGGCTAACAAAAAAACCAAAAAAAAAGAAAAAAAAAATGGATACTGAAAACTTTCTGCTGCACTTAACACTCTATTTTCGAAACCCGAAACTGTCGCTGGCATTTTGCAACATTTATTAATGTGTCAATCGGATTCGTTGGGAAACGATAAAGTTTCTTCTGGACGACATCCGGGATGTCTAAGATGTCTTTGATGTTGTCACTGTTTTGTGGCCGTTGGCATAGTAGCTAGTGGCAAGCGAGCACCGCCATTGGGAATACGGGCGTTGGATTGTGGGCTGAGGTTAATGGCGTTTCGTATTGCATGCCCGCACACGCCGAGTGTTAATCAATTTTCTAACAAATTACAAAAGCAAAAGTCGCTGCACAAAACGATTACATGACCCAATCCCCAACACCCAGCACCATAAACCGTACACTGTACACCGGCCCCGCCGCCTTCTCTGCCAACCGCAAAGGAATTGTAATTATTCCAAATGCTCGTCACTGGGAACATACTGATGACTATTAGGAAAATGAAAACATTGCGTGCTGACGACATTTTATTTGAGTGCTCAGGCCGACTCTTTCCGCCCCTGCAACTCGCCTGTTGTGTGGCAGCGACCGCTTTATTTGCTATATTTCATGCCTGCCGCACTTATCTCCAATTGTTCATCACAACCAGACCAGACCAGACCAAACCGAACCAGGGCAAGCCAGTCCGGAGGCCCGACTGCCTGACTGCCCGACTGCCTGGCGTTGCGGCTACCCAAAGCAAATGTAATTTGAGTTGGTTTTTCTGGGAAATGGCACTTCCATGGGGCGTCCCTGGTGAGCGCTTCGATTAGACTTTATGTTCTAATTACTCGCCCAACACAAAAACGCCACTTCAATTTGAAATTGAAATGAGTGGCACCATCAGGGCCAATAGCAGACGCCAGTGCAGCCGCCGACGCCATCGCCACCGCCGTTACCGCCACAGCCACACAGCCACACAACCACACCAACCATAGAGCCACAGTCGCAGTAGCAGTCGCTGTCGCTGTCGAAATTGTCCTTCTGGCGGCAGTTGTCGCCGCAAATTTTAATTACTGCACGCAAAATGGCAAATGCAGTTGGGCCCCTCTATTAATTGTGACATGCGTAGGTGGTGGCCATGTCCAGCTTACTGGGTTATTCGACTGTAAAGAATGGGGGAAAATAGCTGAATGCATTTTCAATTTGACAATAAGTGGCGGTCAATGCAAGGCCGATCTCAAACATTTCCATGTACTCGCAAACTCGCTCTCCAATAAACGAGGACTCTCATCAAATCCAACAGTAGCTCGCTACTAATACAATGATTTATTATTAGGTGTTTATTTTATGTGCTATTTATATATAATAATCGATAAATACAATTACTGATTGTACTCAGAAGTCGCTCATCCATGCTCTCCATGCTCTCTAATTAATTTGTTTTACGAATGTACTCGCATGTGTTCATTACTTCAGTCACAATCTAATTATAATGGGGGGTAAATGGGGAATGTCGTTGATATCGTTTATTCAATCTGAGCAGCACGTAATTAAGGTAGTATATTAAAATATTGGGACCTTTAATTAGATATTTTAAGCATTTTTAAAATACACACGTTGCTACAGTCGATATTTTTATTTAGGTTTTCTTACTTTAAATAAAGAGATAGGAGGGGGATAGCCTCGTTAGAACAGTTTAAAGTTGGATTTGAAGTGTTGAATATTTTCCAAATCTGCACCTATTTCAATTGGAAACATTAAAACTGGATTATGTATGATTAAGGAAGCTAAAATGAACTTTTGGCAATAATTGGTTGATCAGCAACTTATGCTTTTTAATCAAAGTTTAATTTTAAACACAATGGAAAAATATCACACATTAAAATATTGTCTCGCAATCGATATTTTTAGTAGATTAGTTCTTTGTTATATTGATTGTTCATATAGGGCTAAATTTCACATTAAAAAAACAATACAAATATATTTAAAAATGTAAGACTAAACACCTATCTATAAATGTTAATTAAGTCGACAATACTGTAATTGAAGCTTGATAAAAAGAGTCTCAAATACATAATATATCTATATAATATATCCAGCCAATGCATATGATTTATTTAAAGAAATCATCTATTTTAACATCATAGCAGTATGTAATCTCACAGTATGTTTGTAATCTCTTCTTCCAAACCCATGCTTGTAAGAGTCTATAATTTGTTTGCTCAGATAGTGGCTGGAAACGTGGCGTTCTCATTTCTATTGTGTACTTTTTCTGAAAGCGTTGATGCGCAACAGAAAGTGCTCGGCAAATCGATTTCTTGTCACTTCAAAGTCCTGCTCTTCTACTTCTCTTTGGAGCTGTTGCTTGTCTTCCATTTTCTCCCCTCCGCCATTGCGCACGAACTTCCAATTAGAATCTGTTGCTGGGACAATTGACCATCAAAATCAGTCCATAAGACACATTATGCTCACCCGGGGCTCGTTATTGTTGCCGCTGGCTTCTTCGTCCTCGACGCGCCGTCAATTGCAGCTGACTGCACCACAAAATTCAACGCAATTTGTAAAATGAAATCGATTCAATTGATTGTTGACTTCGCCAAACACACGTACACACACACAAACAAAAGTACACTCACACTCGCGTTGCCCACCCATACACTTACACACAGACACACACACACACATGTTGATGTATTGTGTACACACACAGCGCAAGCATGTTATTCAGTCACCAGCCATCCTGCAGGAAGCTAACGCCAACGACGTTGACAGGTGTCTGAGCGGCGGGGAAGAAGGGTGGACGCATCGATGGTGGCAGGAGGAGCCTCTGCCGTCAGTACTTCTGTTTATATGTTTGTGTCTTTATGTGTGTGTGTATGTGTGTGTGTGTGCTTGTGTGTCTGTGTATTGTGCACTTTGCTTGATTAAATTTCAATATTTACTAAAATGTCGCTGAACTCTTTTTGACAGCTCTGTAAATTTCATAACCAGAATGGACATAAAATATGGTCAACAGTGTGTAAATTTCAACCTGACAAGGGCACAAGTAGACGTAAATGGTTTTCCAATCTTATCACGATGTTAATTTGTAGCACATAAATTAAATAACATGCTTGCATACATACGACTACATACTATATACATACATGTACCTGTATGTACTTATGTATATGTTTTGTAGTTTTCAAAGTGAAAGCGGGACCTGGCATAGCTCATAGAGCTAAGTGTAATTCCATAATGCGGGCTCGTTCGTGCTTGATTTAAAAATATTACTTGCAGACCTAAAATTCTCTAAGAGTGGTTAATTACTATAAGTATATAAAAATGTCAAACTGTTGTGTAATGCCAAAGCTGCAGGCCGATTCGCAACATAATAATAATAAATAAATAAGAATAAAAGTTAAAGCAGTAAATATGTACGATAATTAAGCAAATGCTTAATTGAAAGCAAAAGAGTTAATTGTATTTAAGTATGTACTTTCCAATACACCAAAAAACTATAAAGAACAGCCCTAATTTATCCAAAATTAGGAACTCATACTTGTATACGTAATAATGATGCGTCCTAAAGGAACTTCTTATTTAACCTCAGTGGAAATTTTCTTTTCCAATATTGTCGTGCTTCATAAAGGTTCGTTCCTGAGTGGGCATAATTTCAAAATATTACCTGCAGTCTTTAAATTCTGTAAGAGGGGTCACTTATATAAAAATGTCAAACTGTCGTGTTAATGACAAAGCTCCAGGCCAATTCTCAAAATAATAATTAGAAATAAATAAAAATAAAAGCTAGACAAATGTACGAAACTGCAGATTCTACGGTAAACAGCAATTGCTTTATTAAAATCAAACGGCTTTGCTGTATTTAAGTACAATATCGTACCCTTAGAACTGCTCTGTAATTTATCCAATATTATGAACAAATATACAAATAAAAAATATAAATACCAAAGCTTATCTGTAATTTAAATTATCTTTAAGTCGTCTATTTCAGCGACTAAAATACACCCTTTAAGATTAGTACTTTATTGCTGCGTTTCTTCTAACATTGAATTCTGTTTTAAAATATCTCAAGTTTTTCTTTTTTGTATAAAATTTCAGCATGGTTTGTTATTGATTTTTAAATAAATAAATAGATACAACATTTCATGCCCTGTACCCAAAGGAAACAGTGGAAAATTTGTTTTTCCAATAAAGTAGTGCTGCAAAAAAACATGTACTCTTAAGAATTTAGTTGCTGATAACACTAAGCAGGCATTAGTGGTGGCCATTGAAACTAGGTAGCGGCCGAGTACCCCGTCCAATCCCACGCCAGAAGTGATTTTCCGTAACTAAGGCCATATAAAAACACTTAGAGCTAGACTCTACAAGTGCTAAGAACCCAACATTTTGCACACAGATGACCCATATGAATGATTTATGGCAAAGATAAAGATCCTTAAAATTAAATTATAAACATTAACTGATATTTCATGACAGATATTGCAGAGAAATGTTCATTGCCATTTAAATCTGCACAGCTCACAATAGTAAGAATTATTTGTCAAATTAATTTTTATTGTCTGAAAAGCGAACAAGACAGAAAACTATTGTACACAAACTCTAAGGACTATATTTTGATAAAGTTAAATAACGTAAGACTGTTTTAAAGATCAGGGCTGCAACTAAGTGTTTTGAGACACTGATAGCATGGATCTAGAAAGGTAAGTTTTGCAATATGTTTTTGTCCACACATTAACATTAAACACGCAGAACGAACTCTGAGAAGAGTGCGAAGAAAGTAGAAGATGTAGAGGCTGAAAATGCAGAGCGTGAAAATAAAGAAGAGGGAAAAGCGGAAGTACTCGCAGAACAGACAGAGTCTGCGGCCGCAACCGAGGAGCAGTGCGACGAAGAACCGGCTGAAAATATATTTCTGAAGGTGCTAGGTCCCAACGAGACGGATAACAGCATCGATATAAATAAATTGCGGAAAGAACTAGAGCAAATGAAAATTCGTGACGGACTACAAACGGAAACGGCAAGAAAACCCAACAAGGGCATTGATATTGAAGACATAACAACCCTCATGAGCACATTGGATTGGATAACAGGATTCTCGAGCAGTGATGATGAAAACAATAATGAAGGTTGCATCAATGATGATGTCAACACTGCATCAGCGCAAAGAAAAAGTGTCCTGAATCCATTTACTGTGCAGGCATTAATGGCTGATAGTGCCAAAGAAAATACGGCAAGGAAGTTACGCGATGAATCGCCTATAATACCCGACTTCGATATTGATTACGACAACATATTCGATGACGTGGGCAAGCTGAGCATCGTCGAAAAGCACCTGGAGCTGCTCTTCCGCCCATTCATTTGCGCCATGGATGTCAACTATGAGTTTAACCTTTTCGAGCTGTGCATTTTGCTCTCCGACTCCTGCTACGACCCAGACAGCCATCCCGCCCTATCGATGTGCCTTAACAATCCGCATGCTGTCGTTAAGATATATGCTAATGGCAAAATGACCAGCGAAAGCTTAACAGCTTCGGGCGCTCGCATTTCGCTGCTGAAAGTCCTGCAGATTTTACAGGACTTCGATTACAAGGCGGAGCTCAAACATTTCTCACACAACATTGTGCATGCATCCTTTTGCATGCCCTTCAAAATCGACCTGTTGAAACTAACTGAAGCATATGCCGACCAGGTGTCTTCAAATCGTGAGGCTCGACCATTTGTCACATTCAAATTGCCGGACAACCCCATTCGGTTTGCCCTTTTCCCCAATGGCTTCGTTCTCGTCTTACACTCGAGCAAACACTCTGAAACACGCGTCGCCATTGCTGAGTTGCTGCCGATTTTGAATCAGTTCAGAAATGGATATCCAACACCATCCGAAAAGTATGGCCTGCAGTGTGGCGACATCTCCTACAAGCTGCTCTGGGAGCGCAAGCTGGACGCAGACAAGATGGGCATACTTTTGTACTCGTAACATGTGCTTGTCAAGGGATAAACTAGGCAACGTTAATCCAGAATGTATATAACAGATGTAACGAGGAAGAAATAAACTCCATTCTGTAGTGGCTTTCTTGTTTTTCTACGAACCATACTCTTTCAGATGGCATGACTAGTTTTAGATTGCGTTTGCATCACAATTACAAATATTCTTCAAATATTTATTTATTGTATTTCTTTAGAATCTAAGATACATTTTCCAAGCTTTAAAATGTATTAGCTTTCGCATCAATATTGAATTTCCATTGGTTATACAAAAATTTGACATAACATTAATTACAAAGAAATGTTAAAATATTTTATTTTATTTTAAACAATTTAAATAATTGATATAATAAACAGGCAGATGAAAATTGTTGCCAAATTTTCAAAAATTTAGATTGGACAATGCAATTTTAGTAATCATATAACTTTTTTGCATACGAAAAGAACCAAAATATTTGTATGAAAAATTCTCTTTTACTTCATCAAAAAGAACAAATAATACAGAGTATATAGATTATTCCTTTTGACATTCATATTCGCTGTTCGTTTGTGGAAGCAGTTACCCCATAACTGAAAAAAACAATCACCAGTGAAATTTACTTTACAATTAACTAACTAATCTAAAAAGTAAAATATTAATATATTTATATTGAACAGGCAACACAGTAGTAGTAAAAAATCAAATATACAAAAAAACCTGAATATATAAATAAAAAAGAATTAATTATAAAAATGTGATATTAAAATTGAATAAGTAAATATGAAATTAAATGAGAAATATAATTAGATAACTCCTAACCTAGTTAGTTAACATAAGATAATATTTTTAAGGTATAGTGATATCGGCTTAAATAATTAATGACTAGCGTATTCAGTTAGCAGTTATTTCATTGTAATTTCAAGCTATGATAAAGATTGCAAATTAAATAAATAATAAAATAATGTATGGGACTAACCTTAAAACTAACGACATTTTGAGCTTGAGAAGGAAATTCAAAATATCAGATATGTTTGCGTCTATACTGTGGAAAAGGCTTGATTTTTAAATAAATCTTAGACGAGACTTTTTGACTGACTGTTTGATGTGTTTTATTATTACATTGCATTGTATGTAAATATTGTTTAAAAGCGAACAGAAACAAGCGTGAGAGTATGTTGACGTCGACTTGCGAAGACAATAATGTTGTTCGTTTTTTTATTATTTTGGAATTCTGTGAACATTTGTCATAAACCAAACTTGTGTACGTGCAGTGTTTACAGTTTACAGTTTGAAGTTGAATTTTGGGACGTACTCGGAAACTTGTTTAAATACGTGATTTATTTGCCACCCAAATGCTGGCAGTAAGCAAGTAACAGTAACAGTAACCACCAACCAACTAACCAGAGCCACTATCAGGCAGCAGCCGGAGCCGCCTGCCAAAATAGGGCTACACAGAACTTGCAAGCAAGCGGTGGCAACGATGGTGGCCAAAGTTGCCAACACACCAACACACCAAAACAACAAACAAATTGCAACAAAAGTTGCAAGCTGGCTCTCTGGCTTGGGAGAATGGCTGGCTGGCTGGCTGGCAACAGGCGCATACATAAATAACGAAACATGCTGCACAACAAGTTGGAGAAAATGTCACATTACGCGAAACAAGTTGCCTGGAGGTACGTTTTGGACGTGATAAAGGCACCACCACAACCACAATCACCAACACCACCACCACCACCAATGCCACTCGTCTGAACTTCGTTTGCCCATCAATGTTGTTGCGGTTACATTCGAATGCTGGTACAAAAGTAATGAGCTTTTCGACGTAATATTTTACACATTCTACCCTGGTCTAAGGCGAATAGAAAATTACAAAAATAAATGACAAAACACGTACTACCATCGAAATTAGTTTCTTCTGATATACTACTCGAATTTTGTAAATTTCAAAAGCTAATTGAATTATCGAGCGGTAATTTGTATCAATTGTTATTGCCAATCAGATTTTTTATTTCAATCAAATTTTGTATATTTTGTGCAACATGCACGACTGAATTTATCAATTTATGAAAATACCCATAATTAAAAGGATTATAAACAGCATTTTCGTATTTATTTAGTAGTCAATCTAAATTTAAATTTGCAGCCATACTAAAATAAATTTGTTTAATAAAATTGTAAAGCAATATTCATGAATGTATGTTGTATTTCGACCTTCTGTAAGCATTATACATAATTGTACATGCTTTATAGTAAGGGTGTGTGCAAGCTTTTATAGTCAATGATACAAACAAACATACACAAACATATACAAACAAACATTTTCAAATTAAAGATCAAACTAATTTTAAATAATTAGTAAAAATCCAAGCAAATTTAAGAACTATGCTATATAGAATATGCTAAATATTTGAGGCATATTGAAGACAAACAACGTTTTTTTTAAGAAACGCATATATACAAGGTGTGTTCCAAAGTAAACAGGACTTTTTAAAAAAAACAGACCAAATGGTTTTTTCGGCAAAATCAATTTATTTTATTCAAAATAGTCCTTCTGCTTCAATACAGCTTTTTGCACGATCCAAAAGCAAGTCGAACGAGTGTTTTAGCTCGTTGGCCGGTATGGCCGCCAGTATGATGGTGCAAGTCTTTTGAACGGCTTCTACGTCTGCATAACGCTTTCCTTTCATGGGCAAATGCATTTTTCCGAAAAGGTAGAAGTCGCACGGTGCCATATCAGGTGAATACGGCGAGTGGTTAATGGTTAAAATGTGATTTTTGGTCAAATAATCGACTCTGAGCAATTTTTGGTCGTCAGTCAATTTGTGCGGAACAAACCGTGCACACACCTTTTGTAAGCCCAACTGTTCGGTGAAAATGCGATAAATCGATGTGTTGGAGATGTTCAATTCCATTTCCATCAATTTCAATGATGATTTCGGATGATTTATGATGAATTCACGCACAGTTTCGATGGAATTTTCGGTGATGACGAATTTTGATTGGCCCACATGTTGATCGTCATTTATGTCCTCACGACCACTTTGAAACCACTCGTGCACTCTGCTACGGGATAGGCAATCATCGCCATAAACTTGTTCCATCAATTGAAACGTTTCGGTAAAAGTTTTACCAATTTTAAAACAAAATTTAATGTTGGCTCTTTGTTCGAAGCTCATTTTCGCACCGATAACACAAACATACTGACACTTAAAACGCAATAACTTCACTTCCAATCGATGAAATGTCACTGGACAATCGATAAAGATAGCAGATTCTAACGCACCATCCGACATATAGATAACGCCACCAGGGGGCGCTAGATTCAAAAAGTCCTGTTTACTTTGGAACGTACCTTGTATGTATACTTTATATATATAGTTCTGAGTGTTGCATTCTTTTTAAAAACCGAATATACCCGAATATATTTACCCTTCGGTGAATTAGAAAAATTAATATAATTTGAATTAGGACTACAAGACCAGTCTATATATCCGTCTCGAAATTAATTAGAATAATCGAAATAACATTCATACAAGTTATGTCATAGGCTGTTAAATTTCGTCCTGCTAAGTGCATTATCACACTATATCCACTTCTTCATACCCATTCCGATCTCGAGGCCAATTAGTTAACAAAAACTGCTGCAGTTAAATAGAATTCAGGTCGAAGTTGAACTTAATCATGCTACCTTTAGTATGAATCAATATAGAAAAGTCCGGCTGATAAGAACCTTTGACCCATAACAGCTGGAAACATTATCCATACGCACATCATGTTCATTGTAAATCAAATGAACCGAACATTTTTATACCCTGTACCCGTAGGGTAAAAAGGGTATATCAGGTTTGTAACAGGCAGAAGGAAGTATCTTCGACCCCAAAAAGTATATATATTCTTGATCAGCATGCCGAGAGAAATCGATCTAGACATGTCCGTCCGTCTATCTGGATGAACGCAAGGATCTCAGAAACTATAAAAGCTAGAATAACCAAAGTTGGTATCCAGATTCTCCTAGGTCCGATTCTCCTAGGACGAGTTTATTTTATTTTTTGGAAATCGGATGAAAAATCACTTTTAAAGAGGCCTGCTCGTTTGTTGTTCTCATTTGGTAATGAGCTTAGGCAGAGCTCCTGTTTAAAAGTTACAATTTTATCCTTGTCAGGGATATTTTTGCCGATTCTTAGAAACTATTTAAAGTTCAGTTATTTACAATCAACTAGTGTTTTAGTTGAATGAATTCATCTTATTGCTCTTATCTTTCAACTAACCTGAATAGAATCATATTTTCATATTGTGCTTAGATATTTTTCTTCTAAGCGGTAGTTTCTCATTTCGGATAATGTGAGTCATAACGCTTTCCCTTCTACATACATACTTGTATGTATAGGCCATGTGTGCTCGTAATACTATAACATCAGTAGCGAAGACCCCCCCAAGTGGCTTCAATTTCAATTTAATTTGACGCTGATCGCCAGCTGGCGCAAATGTCAGACAGCAACATGCACGCGCCAGGCGCTGTTCTGTGGGACATGGACTCCAGAAATATTAGCAGCGACAACACGAGCATGTCTCATTTTGTTTATGGATTTACATCAGCACAAGCTGTGCACAAATTGCAAACGTATCAAATAATATTGTAATTTAAATCGATGAGCTTTATGGAAATTGCCATAGTTTTTACGAGTAACGAGCGAAGAAAGGCGAAGCGAAGACAACGTAGCTCAGTATTTTTTTATGCAAGTTTTTATGTTGTTTGTTTTTAACACTTGAGTTGATTTTTAAGAGTGACGTTTTTATATTCGAAGTGTTATTTATAAAAATTTGACGTAAACTCTCGTTGGCATCATAAAGATTAGTGCTTTTTGTTTTGCTTGAACTGTGCGAATTGACTCATCAAATTGTAAATACTTATGCATAAATACATAAACACCAAAGTTTTCTATTATGTACATGCCAAGGGATATGTGGTGGATTTTCTTCTGTTCGCTGCGTATTTTATTGCCCAAGGAGCGCAGAAGTAGCTGAAAACTTCATAAATCACAAAAGTTTGTTTGGCCATGAAAAGGCTTAAGGGTTTATCAAAAATGAAAATTTATTGGCGTTCAAATACTTTGAATTTTAGATTTATGTATTTTTCGGTTTCTTTGTTGTAGTCACTGGAAATATAATATCAGCATCAGGTCCATAAACATGGGATATGCGACAAGGCGAACATTAATTTCAAATGATTTAGTTGAGATTTTAGTGTGTGGGAACAATGAAGGCGGAAGCATGAGTATAAAAAGTACAACAGCACAATAAATTAAGGGAATAATTGCATATGGTATACCTACATATTTGTACACTTAGTGGTTGTGGTGTGTACTAGCATATGAGCACATGTGCAATGTTATCATTAATGAAGGATATCAGGATACCAAGGTTATTATTTTACCTTTCAGCGTGAAAGTGTAATAACTACGATGTGATGGAAATTATGCAAATTTGTTAAATACTGTCGCTTTCAGAAAGGAATATCGAAAATAAGCTCCTTGATATCAGCAGTACACTTTTCTAATTTCAAATGCGTTTTATTCCCTATGCCTGAGGGAAGAGAATGGGGTTTGTGCAACGTATGAAACATGCGGAAGATAACATCTCCTACTGCATAAAGTATACTACAAGTATATATATGCATTCATTACAAAGCAAATAAGTCTTTTCATGTCTCTCCATCGATCCGTCTGAATTATTCCCTGAATTTCAGAAACGCATGAGGCTACATTGACTAAGCTTTATTTGTAGTCTCCTTGCCCCTTAGGCAACACGAGCTTATTTTATCTGTTTTCCCCCTCTTCCCCCACTAAGGAAATTCATAAATATCGCCCACAGATCCAAAGCTACATAAACTCATAGATCTACTTTATATAATTCTGTGCTTAATTTAAAATTTCAAGGACATCGGTTCATTTTAAGAAAATTGACTTATTTTAATAAAATTGAGATACCCTAATTAAATTATTTAAATTTGTTATTACCTTTCGAGCGTTTCAGCCAAACAAATTGTTAAAACGAAGTCAACAGCACGAATTATCTGCTTGTCTTACAAAATAAGATATCGGTATGGTCGATATGTTCATCGAAAGGCACATAAGCACATTTCCTTAAAATTAACCATAACAAAATTTAATACAATAGTCGGAGCTAATTATTTGTTATATTTCCTGTTTGATTCCGTGTCCAACGACGACGAACACGAACATCAGACTATCCGTTCAATTGTTATAAACAAATATGTGTTTTGTTGTTGTAAGACATATAGTCTTTTATTTATACAGAATAGACCTAAAATATAGACTTTTTCGCTAGGACTTAATGATATGGCCAGGGGAATCCGCAGACAAGCCCTTTTATATACCTACTATATCTACTTAAATATATATATTTTCCCAACTGGCTAATATGTAGAATAAAGTCTCACTTCCGCCACTTAGTTGGTTACTAGTCAAGATGTTTTTATGTTGATTAAATAAAGGCAGCATTCCCAACACTTCCGATGGCATTAATATCAAAACAGTTCGACAAAACAATTTCATTAAAATGCCGGCCAACGGCATTTGTACAACCAGAATGGCGATGTTTTTATGTGTATTTCGCGTCATTTTACATTGTTTCGGAGGTGGAAGAATGAAATGGAATCCAGTGGGGGGGATAAACGCACACAATTACAAAGTGACGTTCGAAACGATCACAGCTTTTATGCACATTCCCAGCTCGCATGGACATCAAAAAAGTATGCAATACTATTTTTTTTTCGTTTTTCAAAGCGCACGCATGTGCAAAATGCATTTGCTGTCCCCAAGCGATGTTAAGCGAAGCAGAAGCAGCAGCAGCAGCAGAAACAGAAACATGCACATTAATTTTCATTTAAATTGCACTTGTTAAATATGCAAAACTCTTTCTGCGGTCCAAATGAAACACATTTGCGTCCTGCCTGCATGTGCTGTGGTCCTCAGTTGATGACAGTTGACTGGTTGGTTGACATTTTGAGTGGCTATTAAAATTGCAAAGGGCCGTAGCGGGCACCTTGGTGTAATTTTAAATCTAACCAAAACGAGAATGGAAACGAAAATTGTGAAAGATGTGAAATGTACTCAAGTGCCGTCGAATGTTTTAGTCGAAAATAAGTTTTCCCACTATAAGTACGAAACTTATAATTTATATTTCATGAATTTATGCACAAGTGCTATAAGTATCGACAATTTGCACATTTTGAATGCAAAGCTTGCAAAGTATTTAGAATGGCTACACTTTTGCCCAAACTATTGGCAATTTATGCAATATAATTTTTATTATACGTACATAGTAGATGTACGAGTACATAGTAGTATGTACTTATTTAAAATGCAAAGGCAATCTGTAAACCGCATCAGCCATGGGCCTTGAGTGCTGTGCAGCCTAATCTTCAAAGCGACCGCAACCCTTTTTAATCGCACGACAAAAAAAATAACATAAAAAAAATACTACAATTTTTAGCTTTGAAGGCAAAAGTCTTCCAGCAAGAATGCATAATTCATAAACCTACAGCCATTTGAGCTGGCATCTCTTCATTTGCTGGCAGCCAGAGTGGGAGAAAACTTTGACGGTTCAACTTTTTAATCGGATTCCCCTGCTCGATTGCCACCACATCTGCAACGCCGAATACTTTCAGTGGTTTACTGAAGAATTTAGCAAAAAGAGCCTCGGGCAATGAAGTTTGCCTATCACGACTTTCAAAAGATAAAATGTACATATTAGATGCGTCTCCCCACCCACGACTCCAACTCCCCTCCGTACGCCAGCCCCTGCTCTTAGTGCCAAGCTATTGATATGCGCCTTTGGCTTTAAATGCATGTGTGGCAACTTGAATAGAACATAAATACAAGTAAATGCGAATCGGGCCTAATCATTGCATTTAAACATTGCAACGAGAAACTATTTAGCAATTTTGCAGCTCAAATATTTAATTGATTTTCTTATTTACACAAATGTTTTTTGCACTTCTGATGCGAAAATCGAACATTTGCTGGCAAAGCAAGTGATAATGCGCACATACATTGCACACATATGCATGTAAATCACATTTTGATTTGAACTTTTAATTTATTCACCCACACGCACGCCGAAAATGTGAGCATGTATCAATGGCATTTTAATTACCAAGTATTTTAATGGCATTGCTAATGGAAACGTTAGAAACTGAACGCTGCCGACACATATAGTATGTACGTGTTTGTATGTAAGTATGTAAGTATTTGCGTTTGTTTGTGTGTGTTGGAAATCTAATTACGCCCTTTATTGAGAAAGTGGCATAAAAACTAATCCGAATTTAATTGCATTTACATTACAATCAATTCAAAAACAGAGCTTTAACCATAAACGCTGATTTCATATTTATAAGAATGTCATAAATAGAAATTCGATTTAAAATATATTATTCAATTTCAGACTACGCTCTAGTGCATATAAATTCTGAAAGGGATTAGTTGACAACAACAAAAGAAATACAACATGCCTTTTACATCAAAGGCATGGCAAGCAGCAATTTTGTAGCATTGCAAAGAGTTTTCTTTTTATACCCTGTACCCAAAGGGTAAAAGGGCATATTAGTTTTGTGCGAGTGTATATGCAACACACAGAAGGAGGCGTGGCAGACCCCACAAAGTATATTTATTTTTCATCAGGATGAAAAGACCAGTCCATTACGGCATGTCCGCCTGTCTGTCAGTCAATACGAACTCAAGGATCTCAGAAAGTATAAGAGCTTGAATTACCAAAATTTTGATTCTCCTAAGCCCGTGAAAGAGCAAGTTTGTTTATATTTTCCGATACACGCCTACGCTATTCGCAATTTTCTATAGCTTACCTACTACATGGAATTTTCAAATTTGGTAGACGCATCCAGTTAGTGATTACGTGTCCGTATTTTAATTTTCATTATGATAGGTCAATTATGAAAAAAGTTATAGCCATAAATATACTTGAATTCTCTGCCCAAGCTCTGCCCGCAGCTGTTGTTGCTCCTTTGACGTATTTCTGTACTTCATACATACACGTATAGACATGATTGTGATGCAAATGTATGTTATTGGAATATTCTTTATTTAATTTAATTTAATAAAAAGATTTTTAAAATCTTTCTTTAACGTTTTTCTGTTTTGTGGAGGTACAGGGTATTTAAGAGTTGAGCTCGCTCGACTTCGCATCTCTTCTCTTATAAATCGGCTGAGTAATTGATAATTAGGATATTTCGAGCATATTTGGAATGCTTGCAATTATTACTTTCTGATTATTACAACTTAAAACTCTTTACTAGATGTGATGAAGTTACTTTTCTTCAGTCTTTAAGCTTATTTATATTAGAAAGGATTTCCAATTAAGCTATATACTTGTTAAAGGTAATCGATTTTGGTTTGCTATTTAATATAACAGAATATATGTGTCTTTATTTACAATTATTAATTTAGTTCTTAGTTCCGTCTCGGCCACTAAAAAAGTGCAAGTGATATGTATATGGTAATCGATCGATAAGGCAGTTATAAAACTTGGTACACATAAGTGAATTAGTAATTGCCGCTGTGCTTACAAATACAACTTTTTATTTTTCATTTTTCTAACATATGTATGTACTAACAAGCTCGCAGTTAATGTAACTAATTTAATTATCAATTATTTTTATTAATTATATGTATTATTTGGTGTAACTTAATGCTATTAGGGAGTGGAGAAGTATGGATTTAAAATGTCCGAACTTTTGTTTCAAGTCTTTTGTTATACTGAGAAAGTTGAGCATATGTGTATATTTTTGTACTTTATGAACAAATGAAGCAAATCAATCAAATCAAAAGTAAAACTCACACAAACTAATTATATTTATCAGAGCGATGATCAACAAATTTTGTTGAGCTGTCATTCTACACATGCTCCTGTAAGTGGCAACGATGATGAATGGGTTCAGAATGTTAAAGTTGCAGATAGTTTTTGTATAAACTTATTTTTACTCAAAGCGATTCCAAGTGCGTGAGGAACAACATGAAGGCCTGGAGAATCATTTCCTGTCGTTGCCTTGCTGCCAGCTTCTGGTTGATGGCTCTGGTGCCTCTGCCCACACGCACTTCCCGAACTCCATGGCTGGTAGCTGTGGCCATTCGATGCATTTGGGTGGCCTTCTTGTTGTTCGTAGTGCATGGAGGCTGGAAATATGCAAAAAGTATACCAGATGGCAGCGGCATAGTCAGTGCATACGTTGGAATCGGCGTGTTTCTGGGCCACTCCATTGTGGCTCTGATATTGATAGGCGAGAGTATACTGAAGGGTGCATCATTTGCAGATTATGAACGTCGTCGACGCAAACTCCAGCTCCAGCGGCTCTGTGCACCGCAAATAAGAAGAAAATTGCTGATTTTGATTTTTGTAGAATTTGCTCTCGACATCGCCAAGACCTGGGCCAATGCCAATTCCAATGTGAACCCAGTGCATGCATATTCCATGCCCCACACATGGTTGTTGCGTTTTCGATTCATTCAGCTGCTGCAACACGTCATGGAACTCAACCAACGGTGTAAGCAGCTAAAACACTCTCTGATTGTGCTCGCAGCCCGCATTGCACCCATCTCGATGCTGTGGCAGCCATCTAGTACTCAGGAGTGCGACCAGCTGCTGCAACTGCGCCTCAACTACCAGAGTATCTTTGAGTGCTTTGGGGCCTTCAACAACTGCTATGGCTGGGGCATGTTGGCCTTGCTTCTAGTTTGCTCCCTTGATATTATATCCAATGCCTACTGGACGATTCTCTCAGATTACACAATGGAAAGCATTCATTATTATGTCTACAATGGATGCACTAGCTTCGCCACAGGACTACTCATAGTTGCACTCTTCTGGTCTGGTGATAGGAGTTCTGAAAACGTAAGTATATAACTCTACTATATAACTAACCAATTAAGTAGCTTTCGTAATTTACTTCCTCGTCTATATCTTTGCACAATAATGTGTGAGAAAATAGACTTCTAATTTGAGGCCTAAATCCTTTCACCAAGCAAATATTTCGAATTTTTGAAAGAGGCTAGAGATCTATCTAAAAGAACTTAATTTTTAATTTTCTACTACTTTATAAAATTATATGTGATTTATATACAAGTATTCATGTGTACTACTTACCTCACCAATTACTTCTAATATGAGGCCTAAATACTCGTAACAAAAAAATATTTCGCATTTTTAAAAGAGACTAGAGGTCTATTGAAAATTATTTAATTTTTTATTTTCTGCAACTTTTTAAAAAGTTAAATGCGATGTATTCTAATGAAAACAATATTTTGATCTATGAGGCAGAAGCTTTAAAATGTTGTGCGCTTTAAAAACGCGATAAAAATTGTTCAATGCCATATCAGGAATTTCATTTAAAACTCTTTCATCCGTAAAATAACGTTTGAAAACGTCTTCAATGAGTTTAATGACAATACGTTAATTAAATATCATTGATTAAATAGCATACAATTAACAATACTTGAGTATCTTTTAGAAAACAAATAAAATGATAGGATCTATTGTCGATGAATAAATTAGTTAGCAAAAGCCTGTAAACACTTCATGTCGCAAAAAAAAAAAAACCATTTAAGGACTTAGCGACATTTTGAAAGGCCATTTCGAGTATGGCCTTCCCTATCGTTCTGATAGCAAAGATGAATGGTATTGTAATTGACTTATTGACGGAATGGCACGCGACTCGACTCGACTCTTTAAAAGCTTTGCTGACAGTGCACTTTGGTTTTAACTCAATTAGCCCATTACTGTTGGCCGACTAGTTATTAGCCATGAGTCAAGTGAAACGTTGTGCCACGCGCTTTGTGCTGCGCCTTTTCCACACTCTGCTCTGCATCTTTCGACTTAGATGCAGTACGCGTTGGCGTAGGCTTCAGGCTCTCCAGCTGTGTGGTTGGCTGGCCTGGTTAGCATACATACAGATTATAACCTCGCAGCAGCTCTTTTCCCACGACCTCAACTGTAAGCTGAATTGTTATGTGGAAGTTGCTCGGTTCTTTGGTAGAGTAGCGACTCATGTCATTATTTTGCTGGATGCATATTGGAAACAGAGCTACAAGCAGCGCCTGCCAAAAATCCAAAGCAGTTTCTATGGCGCTTTTGCCTCACATAGTGTTGAGGAGGAATATGATTCAGATGTTGCACTAATTACTGGCATCATGCTGACATCCATGTGGCTAGTAAGCTGCCTCAGCACTTTCAATTTGTTGCAACACGCCAGTGTAACTGAGTTTACAATATTTTCTTTGAGGTCCTTACCCACCATACTGGCATTGCAGTTGAAACTTTTGGAATTTCTCGGCGACATCTTGAACGTCAATAGCAAAACCCACCGTCTTAGAAACAAACTACAAATATTGACTCGACACAAAGTTCGTGCCTCCAACTGTATTGATATGGAACATCATCTTTTGCAAGTTAAACGATTAAAGCTCCACTATGGCGATCACTATCAACTCCTTAGAGCGCTAAACGAAGCCTATGCCAACAGTATTTTAGCCATTTTAATCGTGTATTTCGTAGAACTAGTGTGCAATGCCTATTGGATTTTTCTAGATGTGACGATTCAGGCGCCAAGTGGTCACACCTTTCTGAGTGATGCTGGATATTTGTTTAATATCTTGTTGCCGCTCGTAACTGTCTGTTGGCACTGCCAGCAAGCCTTCAATCTTGTAAGCCATATACTGCGCTCATGTAATTATTAATAGATGCATATTTTATTTTGCAGAGTCGACAGATCGGCTGTCTCATCTCGAAGTTGGCCAAGCCCCTGGGAAGCAAACGATATAACGACCTAGTCAGTGAGTTTTCCTTGCAGGCCCTGCATCAGCGCTTTGTGGTTACGGCAAAGGACTTTTTTAACCTCAATCTACACCTATTGAGCAGCGTAAGCTCACATCGCCGGGCTTTGATTCTTTATTACAAACCAATAAAGAAAACCAAAACTATTTTATTTTCAGATGTTTGCTGCAGTCGTGACTTACTTGGTTATCCTGCTGCAATTTATGGTTGCCGATAAGAATTCCACGGGGCGAAATCAAATCAAAATCGAGTCGATTCCCACCAACAGTACCAAACTAATAGAGCCTCAATGATTTCCAAATTAGTGAATGCACACATACCAGAAATATCTCAAAAGCGATTTAAAAATTTGAAATTTAACAAAACGAACAATTGCAGATATTTATTGAAAAACAAGAATTGAATGCTAGAACCGAGCGGGCTCAGCTCTATTAAAAATATTTTTGTAGTTTTATTTGTTTAAATTTAATTAATAAGTTAAATTAAATTATGACACATATGCTTAAGCATGTTTCAGTATACTCGTATGTATAAAGTCCTTGAAATGTTTCTGCTCGTAAATCATTTCGTCATAGTTCGAAACAGTAATAATAATATAAATATATATAATATTAATAATAATATTTCCTGATACAAACAAATAAGAATCTTTTAAAATGATTTAACTATACAGAAGCTATATCTCCAACAGTTCCTGTTAACTATGACTTAAACATTCCGAGATCTTGTCGGTCAGAAGAGCGGGCATAGGTGTATGGTGAGCAGGGGATCTTAATTATGAATTTACAGAGATGTTGAATGGTTATTAAGAATTTCAAATAATTGTACGGTCTCTACACAAAGTCGGACATCTTTGTGGTAAAAGAAAATTTAAAAACTCCTCTTCATATAGCTCGAAGGCAATGGCTTGGCTAATATTATATAATATTATATAATATCTACTCCAGTATGAGGATTTTAAAGTTTTCATATGAACGGGATTGTAGGACAACCTACAGAAACCGAGTCGATACTTCTAATTTTCCGTTACCAAGAAAAAAATGCCAATGGAAAGGAGAGTTTTATTCTAAAGTATATAATATTGTTCAATTGTTGTTGTTAAGGGTAATGCCTAAACTGCATTTGACATTGGCAATTTAAAAAATGTTCTTAAAGGAAGTTATAAGCAACACCCCTCATAACAACTAGGAATTTTATTAAGTTCATTAAAAAATGAATTCAATTTTATTAAGCTCTTTAAAAATTATGTATAGTAGTGGCCTACATTTATTAAGTGATGTTATTTCACAAGACACAGAAAAAACTACATTTAAAAATGTGTGCTGAACAGTTACTAACTAAGAAAGGAGACACAAGCACTCACTTCTGAGGAGCAAACATTATAATAGAAGGAATCTGGTAAGGAGCTAAAGGAGCTGCCAACAGATTTTCTGGAGACAATATTGGTGAATAATCCAAGACATGAAGAGTTATCAGTGGAGATGGCGGTGGCTGGCACGTTTTAAAACTGACTCAAACTAACTAAAAAAATTGATGTGCACGCTATAATGCATCCGCGAATTGTATTTCAATGATGCTAACCATTGAATCCTGCAAACGTAATATTCAACACGCTTTAAATACAATCTGTAGCTGATGAACTGCAGATGGTCGCAATCCAGAGCATGTTTTAATGTGCAAGACTTTTAAGCACACAAGCTTTCTAGGGTTAATTAGAAAGATAAACAAATGAAAGAGCGCGAGGGCAAAGCACAAACAACAAAGGCACAAGTGTGTAGTAGAAACGGTAAACTAAAGCTCTACCAAAATTCGTGAGAGGGAACGCAGCAACAGAACTTGTGTGAGCGCCATGCAAAAACTCCTGCTAAGTAAGTGAAACAAAGCCAACAAAAAATAGACAAGCACAGTACAGAACTGCTGCAAAAAATATTAAATAGTAAATTTAATGCTTAACACGGCATTAAACAAATGCATCCATATATCAAGTTAAAGAAGTAAACTCTAAATTAATGGGTGTTAAAAACACTTTCAAAAGTGAACTCAATATAGTGACACAATCCGATCTAGTCCTTTCTCTTCGACCATCCATCTCATCAGGAACTATAAGAGATAATGTTAATGCTTTTATTTTCGATGTAACCCCAAATATTAATGCTCTTTAATTCTGGGAATGTGAGCTCCCGTTACTACACATTTTTCTTCATGTGAAATTTTTAGCTGGTGCCTGCTTAAAAACATCAGCCACCATCTGTTACTCTTTTACATAATAGATATGTATGTATTAATATATTTTACATGTGTTAATTATTTTTGATAAGCGGTTCGTGTGTGTTCAAGAGGGAGCTGCAACGGATGAGTTCGAGTTCGTTCCTAAAAGAGCCACCATTCTATGTTCGAGATCGAGCAGCGGGCCTGATTGCATTGTTTACGAACAAATCGGGTTCGCTTTCTTCTAACGCTTCAGAATTTCTTTCTTTCCGTTTTGGTAAATGGCGCTAACCAGACGCACAAGCAGAGTGCCGATCGCAACGAACTTACAACAACAAAACAGTTGCAGTGGTCGCCAGCCAGACGCTCAAACAGATTAATGCAAAAACAAAATACACGCAGTTCGTTTGCCGTTGCTCAATTTTTAGCAGGACTTACTCACAACTCTTACGGTGATTTTTGTTGTAGATGTTATTGTTGTACGCCCGATGTAAATTTTGTGCTGGCCGCTGAAGTATGTATATAATCGCTTGAGTGACATGGCTTATGAGCAACTCAAACTTCAGCGAACATTTCGATCATGTATGTATGTATGATAGTGAACACCATGTTCGATCATTGCTGGCCTGTAGGCAATAATGAAGTTCATTAACGATGCTATATGTATGAGTTTGAGAGTTTGATTGAAACTGAATGTTCGCCTTCAGCTCAATCTTATTAATAATTTGTTGTCGTTATACTAAATTGCATAACCGTAACTCTCGAGTGTGAGCAAGCATGTATATAGTATTACCCCTAGCAGTTCTCAGGTGTGGTTGTTAGCGCAAAATAAAAAATAAAAAAAATAGAGGAAAACAATTAAGCCTTAAGACATAAAGTTTGCATTTGCGAAGAGAATAAACTTGTGGCGTAATTTAAACAGACATTTGCCCCACCAACCTTTTCAAAGGTAAATAAATACTTTCCAGCTTGATTTGATGCATTTTCTCTGGGTTTTTGGCGAATTTGGTTTTGCTTGTAATTATATATGCCGCCCACTAACACTATGGTATTTGGTGAGGATTGCTTGCCGCATACGCCCGCACAAGTTAGATGGTGCTAAGTTCCGTTTTTAGGAAGCGTATTTCGGTAGATGTAGACAAAACTACTTCAGGCATATTAAACTGGCATTTTGCAAGCAAAAAAACTTTTTCTAATATGCAAATTCATGCCGAATGTACCACATGCACAGCAGAAAGGATAAAGTAACGACAGCAGCCACCATGCACCGGCACCGGCACCGGCACGAAGAGAAGCAGCAAGAGCAGCAGCAGTAGCAGCAGCGGCAGAAGAAGCAGAAAGCAGAAGTAGCAGCAACAGCACATCCTTGAATTAACACGTGCGAGCTCGCATTAATTTGTAAACGGGACTGGGACAAGGACTCGAGCTCTACTCTGCTCTGCGGCGGTTAGATAAGTGGGCGGCCTAGAATACCATTGCTACTCCTGCTATTGCTTTTGCTTGAGCTGGTGCTGAAGCAGAAGCAGAAGCTGAAGCTGAAGGGTGTGCGAATGAGTTGCCAACTCCGAGAGCAGTTTTTGTCGTTAGGTATGCAAATGTCGAGCCATGTAAATATTATTTACCACACTCGCAGATGCTCAAGATGTGTGCAGCACTCATCGAGTCACCCTTCACACACATGCACACTCGCAGAAATTGTTACGCTACTTCAACTCTCAATTAACATAACAACTAAAACAGTTGAGCCACTTATAAATATTTATGAGTGGTGAGGATAAGTTCTTGCCACTGTTTTTTCTAACATATGCCAAGAAACTCGTATACGTAATATTCTCTACTACGCGCAGCTTATCTGAGCTTAGCATCCCACATCCCTCGATGCTGAAATTATAAAGAGCATTATTTGCTTTAAAAGGCATGCTACACTTTACAAAATAAATTACAATTATTTTCATAGCATTAAAATAAAAATCATACAATAAAGTTAAAATGAAAAATATTCACTAATAGAGTCATTGGTAACTTCGATTAGTAATTAAAGATTTATAATTAGTCTCCCGTGGTCTGCCACGTTTGCCAATTGGTAAACATATATTTGTCTTAGTATTTTCTCACATTTAGTCACTCTAACAATGGATAGTAGGAAATGTAATTAAATTAAATACAAATAAAAATAAGTCATTTATGCATTAAAAAATCATTTCAGCTGACGAAAGCAGGAGACCTCTAAACGCCTTAAATTGTAAAATACATACTCGTATTTGTTTAATGATTATTAAATATAATCACTTAATCTTTATCACATAATCTCACTATCTTTTACATAATTTCCAAGCACTTTACACACCTTAGGATGCAGCAAGCAGTGTCTGCATATCATTCTCGACCTTGACATCTCCATGGAACCGTGCACCTTGAAGGCAAACACAGAATGTTCCTCGTTAAAGGCGTTAAATAAAATTTGACTGCAACTATCAGTCAGTCCAAGTGGTATGCGCTTTGGGGCCGTGTCCCATATGCCAGCAGATTTTAAAGTTGGCGGCTGTAAAAGTTTTTAAGTTTATCGAAGAAGTCTATTTGAGATTTACGAACCGTTATGCCTGCATTCTATAGGGCATTAAAGCCATCATCCCATTTAAGTTTCACGTGATACATTTTTCGTGACATTTTCTGTTGTTATTTGATTCTATAGATGTTTCTGACAGACTCACATAAGTAAAAAGAATCTGACATATACTATGTCAAAAGTAGATATCCATATTACAAGTATGTTTATACTCTGTACATGAAATGTTCAGAAGTATATTAGGTTTGCGGGAGCTGAAAAATGTAACAGGCAGAAGGAGGCGTGGCAGACCCCACAAAGTATACATATTCTTGATCAGCGTGACAAGACGAGTCGATCTAGCCCTGTCTGTCTATCTGTCTGTCCGTCCGTCGGTCAGTCCGTCCGTATGATCACCTAGATCTCAGAGACTATAAGAGATAGAGACACCAAATTTTGCACAAAGGTGCCTTATGTGTGTACGCTGTGCAAGTTTGTTTTATTTTTTTGTTTTCCCCCCACTTCTCCCCTATGGGGGTT